ACGTTAAAGATCCCTTGGTGGTCTAAAATCGACAAGAGTAGGCTTCGGCCGCCACCCGGGCAAAATTCAAAATTTCCTACCAACTGAAAATATTAAGTGTGTCCCGCGCGCTCATATGACCTTATGTAGTTGCGAGCGCCGTAAAACACTTTACCAAAAAAACAAACAAAAAAAAACAACAAGTGAAGGAGAGCTTAAAACAAAGACTGCAGCGCCATCTGAAGCAATGCGCAGACTTCTGCAGACATTTTTTGTTTGAGTGAACTATCTTGTTATGTACGATCTTTGTTCTAGGGCAGCAGAATGACTCTGTATCGGCGTCTGTTGTGTTAGGTTAGGCGCCTCGCTGTACCTTGCGAGAGAAGCAAATTTCGATTCAGGTGAAGGGAGAATTTTTACTGGGCATCTCGGACTTTTTGCTGTGATATTGTACGCGTATCTCTGCCCAGATTGACCCAGACGGGCAAGATAGAATTTGCCTTTCAAATGATCTACAACTGTGTCAATGGGGGAGCATACATTCCCTCACTAGAATTTTGCTATGATATGAACATTGACAAAGTTGAAACAGTTACGGGTGATGGTTAAGAAAACACATAAGGAAACTAAACACAAACGACAGCGGAAGGAGGAAAAAATAACGTCATTAGTGGCTTGAAAAAGTTTTGTGAACTCCACTTACTACCTGTCTGTTACGTGTTCATATTGTTATGTACTTCTCGCAGCAAAGTACCTGTAATCCTCGCTTCTCGTGTTACAGGAAAAAATATTGTTGTTATATTGACTACAATGGCGAATAATGATTTTGGCAAATAATATTTCATTCAACATAAAGTGTTGTTTTCATAAACCTGAAGCACAGGTTCAACACCCCTAGCACGACAATTAGATTATTCAAGAGGCGGGACCTTCGAGTTTAATGTCCATATCCGAAAGGACCGAGCCATACGGTAAATTCATGTAAAGTGTCTTTCCCACGAACAAAACGTCGGACCAAGCTGAGGCTCGAACCTCCGAACCCGCCTTCTCACGATTATAGTATGGGTCCGGTAGCCAAACCAATAGGCTACTAACGCCACGCAAAAAAGTGAGACATCATAAATATTCATCAGCTGGTATGAATAAAAACGTTTTAGGAGCATAAGGTGGTGAAACTTGATGTTCATCTCGTACAATCTTAACGTTGTCAATGCGATGTGCGAGTTGACAGATTGTGAGATTATTACTGCCGAAAATTTCCAAGACGGACACCCATTGTTGAGGAAAAAAGTGGTCTCTTGAGACAGGGGGATGTTTTGGACAGTTTCATTACAACATTTTTAAAAAATGAAAGGGGGGAAGTGGGAAGTAGTCGTTTGCACAAAATGAATACTGATATCATGATGATATTGTGTAATTAACAGAATTGGCCAGACAATAGACTTAAAACAAACATGTATACAAAATAATAATTTATGTGTATTATGTATAAGCAGATGGCGGGTGATTTTTGGGGGGGGGGTGTGAATCGGAGTGGTTGGCTCCTTCTTTCCTATTAAACATCTATCGTCCGTATCTCTTCTTCATCTTTTGTGTATGCTACGCTCTTGAAACACTATTAATTTTCGGCACTTGTATGACTAACAGTGTTTCAAGTGCCGTAAAACTCTTACTAAAGTAAATCATATGTGAGGCAGCGTGGTGGAATCAGGCTCTCGTCAATTTTTCGGCATGTAGAGTTATTGGTATCATCTTAAAGCTTGTACACTTGTCTTTATTTTGGGTGAAAAAAATATCCATTTATCTTGAATACAAGTCAAGATATTTGCGAAAGAAGGAGGTGGGAGTCACTTGTTTTCAGAGGTAAAATTAGTGAGAAAATGGCCACCAAAGATTAGTTATTTCCTTAGCTTAAGAGTCGTGATAACTGAAAATTTACATTTTTTGTGCCTTTATTCAACGTTTTTCAGAAAAATCCACACAGAAATGAGTTCTTTAATGGGCATGAAAGGAGTTGAGCCAAAAAATAAACATTTTATAAAAATTCACAAACCTGCGGAAAAATGCAAGTTTCTTCACTTTAATTATTTTGACGAGAGCCTGATTCCACCACGCTGCCTCACATATACATGATATGATAAGCGTATTTAGGTTAGTCACTGACTCGTGTGACAAGTCCACATGTTTACTGTAAATAATGTTAATCTTAAGTTAAAGACGCACAAACACATGTTCTTGAAAATAAAAGGCTAATAAATGGTTGACTTTATTGTGAATCGACTGCTCGGCATTTCTTTGAGGAAAATGTGAAATTGTCTAGGTTTAATGCCCTTTGCAACACATTTAGGTTACTAAAATGTAAGAGGGGGAGGATGGGGATCTCCGAATTTAGAGCCCATCTCCAAAAGGAAGGAGACAAACAGGAACATTCGTGCAAAGTGCCTTGCCCAAGGACACAACGTCAGGTCAGACTGAACTGAGGCCCCAATCACTGAGTCCGCAACCTTACGATTACTGACAGGTGTCCTTACAACTAGACTACCGGCGCCACACATAGCCTTGTGTTGATCTGTTAATGTTGTCAATAAGTAAGCTTATTCAGTTTTTAAGGCCATTGGCCCACATCATCATCATCGTCATCCAGTGCCAGATCTGCGACAGACATCGGCGATCATGGTTCTCCATTCATTCCTTTGCTCGGATGCTCTCAAAAAGCCACATCACATGACATAAAACACTTATTTGTTAAATAAAGTTTCCATAAAAAGTACAGGTTGTGCATATATCTCTTACTCTTATCATGTGTGAAACACTGCATACTTCTGTCACTGTGCGGGTCAGGCTGGGGAAATTAACAATTTCCTTTGATTGACAAAATACGGACAATAGAAAGCAAAGTGAAATTAATTTTCAATTTCATGAGAGCTGATCTGTTAAAATATTATAATCTAGCATAAGCTCAAGATATTTCATTAACGAGGCAGACTGGATCGACAATGCCTGTCTGAGATAACCGCGAGTGAGTGAGATACAATGTCACAGACAGGAGAAGGACGAAGACGCTTCTCTATCTTAGAATTACAAAGTTCAATCTTTCATTTTTGGCCGTTTTGAGTTACTAAGACCATGAGGTCAGAAACCAAAGTATTCTACCCGCTCTATCAAAACCGTTAGATTATTCTGAGTCGTTTTAAGATATTCAAATATTTTGCATTTAAAAAGCTCGACACGTTGTGAAAGTCAAAACAATTAACATCGCATTTCTCAAGCCTGGGCACTGAGCGGAGAGTAATTCTGAGGTAGCGACTTGGTATAAACGCATCACAGACTTGTATAAAGAGGATCCAGGTTTTCTTGAACAGGTGTCTAAGAAAGTTACATAGGATCAGATGGACAGACAGGGTCACCAATGTGGAAGTGTGAAGGAAAACAAGACAGATCCTAGTCAGAGATGAGGTAGGAAGAAGGCGGTGGCGATGGATTGGACATACTCTCAGGAAGTCAGGCAGCTGCATAACAAAGAAAGTTTTGGATTGGAACCCACAGGGCAAGAGGGGAAGACCTCGTGGAACCTGGAGAAGAATCACAGAAATCGATGTACAGAAAAGTGGGAAGACATGGAATAACATCAAGAGGCTAGCCCAGGATAGAGAAAAATGGAGGGTGTTTGTCCGTGCATCCTTGGTATAAAGACAAACACATAGGACTCAAACTCACGTCTTTTGTGAGTAACGGCGAAAATAGCCACAACGCCAGTCAGAATGATCCAAGCGGGTATGTATTGTCGGTACAAAGACATAGACATTTCTCACATTAACCTTTAAAGGACGTAGCGGTAAAAAAAATGCATTTTTTTTTGGTGTAAGTGTTTTACGGCGCTCGCAACTGCATCCGGTCATAATCGCGGGCGGAACACATTAAACATTTTGAATTTTGCCCGGGTGACGGCTGAAGCCGACTCTTATCGATTTTAGACCACCAAGAGATCTTTAGCGTGCGCAGCTTGAACGCGGGGACTCCGAGATTTTCGCCCTTGTCCGAGAAGGCTAGGTGTAGATCTTACCATAAGATCAGGGGCGTGGCTGAAAGACAGCAGTAAGAATAAACCAGGGAGTAGCAGTAGAAAGGCTGGAGAAAGAGTCAGGAGCCCAGAGGAGGGGGCAAAGGAGGTGAAGGGGTGAGGGCAGAAAGTGGAGGCGGAAGCAGACGACAGAGCATTGTTGGAGAGCAGGAAAGGAGGTGAAAGGAAATAATTTTAGAGCAGAAAAATTTCCATCGCTTTCACGATACAAACCCGGGACCTATTGAATGAGGTCAAACACCTTAACCTCTCGACCACGAGAGCCCTCCATGTACAGTCTGTAGCTGCTGCACGCCCAAAGCAACGCTGAGACACATCTGGAGCCGTCATGCACAAATGGGATCAAATACACATACATGCTTTTTCAAAGTGTAGCTCTTGAAATGAAAGAGCTGCAGAGCTGGCCTACTATAGAAGAAATTGCCACATTTAGTTTGAAGCTAGACAACAATGACTGTGTATGATACACGTGGTACGAGACTGACAGCTTTCTATTGTTCACCCTTCTGAGTTTCCAGGATCTTTTCCATGAATTTCTTTTAGGGTACTTTTGTACAACTAGGTTCCTAAATGATGAGAGTTACAGAGGATGCATTTCAGGTCAATACGGCCATTGATTCGTCGATGCAACTTAAACGATTTTTTTTTCTCTTTGAAAGTTTTTCACTCACATGTCTTCAACATTAACTTGAGAGAAGGACATTGCAATGAAACTTGTTCCTAGCTTGACAAAATAACTACAATAGAAAGAAGAGAAATCACAGCAAAACACAACACGTAAGGTGAAATATCCGAGGCGCTTTCTAAGATTAATTCTACAATACATAACGTAAATCTATCTTTAACAATATAGACAACGAAAATAAAAACCAAACCATCCAATGAAATACTTTCTTGTGTTATGAAATCAGAATACGATTAGTTTATATAAATCACATATTTACTTTTTCCCTTTATTTCTATTAAGCATTTCATCAAGGATTTCTCTATATCTGGAACTCATGTTGTAATACACAAATATGTTCACAGCAGAATTCACAGCCTCCAAAGACTTACAAATAGACCACGATAGTAAAAACAAGTTGCGATTTATACCGTAAATGCTATATTCTACAGAGACAATCATTATGATCTGGTTGACAGCACTAGGCAAAAAACAAGCCATGAATATGCTAGAGATAAGGATAATCATGGACACCACTTTTTTGTCTCTATTCGATAAAGAGTTCTGCTGAGCCGAGTTTGAAGTAGACTTTCGCCATTTCGATTTCAGTGTAAGATTTCGAACAAGAATGATAGTGCAGACAATAACGACCAAGAAAGACACATATTGAGGTATAATATTGACCAAAACTGCCACGTTCTCAATGTGCACACCGTTAGGTATGTAAAGTAATCCTATCTTCGTCACATTTTTACTCTGATAAAACTTTGGCCCTAGACGGATTGAATAAAACGCAGGTACCACTCCCGAAATCACGATGGAGTATATGCCAACAACCACGAAAGTCGTTCGCCTCGGGGTTATGATCGTCTTCACCTTGAGAGGCATAGCGATACACAGACACCTCTCAAACGTGACGAAGGCTGTGATCCAACCAGTGATGCGTGTGAAACAGGTGTGGGGCCATCCTGCTGTCACGTACTGAATCTCCTCAGTGTCAAAAGGCAGGTCAGCATTGGTGAACCAAGGGTTGAAACAAATGCTTAACCATATGAGAGACATTAGTCCTCCTATATCGGAGATGGCCAGACCGAATAGGGTTATGTTAACGGTGTCCTTAAAGCCCTGCTTCCGGAAAACGATGATGTTGATTGCGTTGAAGATGATGCCGATGAAGCTGGCGGAGCCCATGACAGCGACGAAGAAGATAAGGACGAAGATGTTGTATGTGAAATCATCTACCAGCAGCCCTGTTTGGGCGGATGCTAAGACTGCTATTTGGCTAGAATTTCGAGAGTCCATCTCCGATGTTTCGCAAGGCACAGTACGATTTGACCACTGATGCTGTCACTGGAGCCTGTTCAATAGAGTAAAATGTAAAGAATAATAATAAAATATTTAAACACAGATGAAGTTTTTCTTACAATAAATTCTATTTCGCAATGCTTAGACCCAGCTAAGTATCTATGGACCGTGACACTGTTATACTCAAAATTTAGATTATGCCTTTCTTATTAAAAGACATAATAATATGTCTTTGGTATGACGGCTAGACACTTCGCTGTCGCATGCAAACATCCCGAGTTCGATTCTCGTTTGGGGATAATTTGTATCGAGTATGTCGATCTTTCTGATGGGATGTTGTATCCCTCTCAGCTCAGGTTGGCACCGACAGACGAGGTCAAAGCCGGCCTTCCAATGATCGAAATATCGTCGTTGGGGGCCAAAAACACCTACGTTACTAATTTTCAAAAAAATTATCTTTAATTGGTGACCGCCTTTATCAACCCCAAGCAGAACATATCAACAACAACAACACCCCCACCACCACCAACAACAACAGCAACAACAACCGCAGAAACAACAACAGAGCCTCAAGTTTGTAGAGATGGCTAAGAGATTACCAGACAACCATCCTAAAAAGAAAGCCCTTGATCAAGCCTAAAAACAGGAGGAAAAGTTGGTTTCGGATGGCCACCGATCTAGCAGACCACCTCCCCTCTGAAGCAGAGAGTCGATGGCCGATCAATCTGGTGAGAGCTTGTCCATCAGAGACCCAAGGCGAAATCGAAATTCAGACAGAAGTGAGAGGGTGAAAGGAAAAGGTGATGATACTGTAAAGGCACGTGAAGCAGCTGAGGATGTGATCAAAGGGGTTGGTGTGGATGTGACAATTTTCACCGATGGATCGGTTGTGGCAGGATACCGCGAAGGTGGAGCAGCAGCAGTGGTGATAATGAATGATGAACCACCACGAGCAGAAATTATTAAAACTAAAAGTGCATTCCTTACATCATTTTATGACGAGGAGTGCTAGGCAATGATGTCTGCTGCACAATGGATTGCTGACAATTGCCACAGTAGGACCAATGTGCTGATCTTGACTGACAGTCAGTTCCTCTGCAAGGGGCTGCTGGGCAACAGCAAGTTCAGTGAAGCCAGAGCCACAATAATAATCCAGTGGATTCCAAGCCATGTTGGAATAGAAGGAAATGAGGCAGCAGACCAAGCTGCTAATGAAGCCAGAGAGACTGAAGGAGACAGACGACCGACAACATACAGAGGAGTCTTTCCAATGATCAAGAGGGAAATCAGAGACCCACCATGTAGAACTAAGTACCAGTACCTGGAAGATGTGTATTCTGGGTACTCCTAAAAGCGGGAACAAAAATCTATCACATGTCGCTGGGACCAGGTTGAGCTAGCGAGACTGCGGTCGGACCATTATTGGAGTTTAAGATGGTATAAGAACTTGGTAAATGAAGAGCTCAGCCCATGTGGCCGAAGATGCGGCCATGAAAAGAAGGATGTCAAACATATGTTTGAATGTCCAGGAACAATGGCAATTCGAATTGAGTTATTTGGACGAGTGGAGGTGCCTCTTAGCATATTGACAATGGAGCCGAAAAAGAGCCTCGCTGTCGCTCGAAGATTTCTTCGTGGAGTCCGTCAGGCCCATTAAGGAAACAAATAACAAAACAAAACAAAACAACAACAGCAACAAAAAGAATCATGTCAATAGTGAAAAATCGGTTGTAAGGTTTGTTCATTCCTAGCTCCTGAAACACAGCATTTTAGCCCAGCACCACACTGCACAAACCAGTTTTTCAGCAATTCTTCTTCTTGCCTCCCCTCCCCACCCTACTTGTTGATGTTGTTGATGTTGTTGTTGTTGTTGTTGTTGTTGTTATTGCTCAAAGGAAAAAGTAAAACCATACATTTAGTTTGATTTCCTAGTCTTAAATTTGTTTCAATTCCCGACAATGAGAAAAAAGTTCAGTAAAACAGAAAAGATACTTCTTCATTCGGAATGGCAATCCTTTATTGAAAATCTCCAGACATTTCATTTTCCGGTGTGCATCTGAATGACAATGTGTTAATGATAACTTTGCAGACGATGTACAGGAGGCGTGTTGTTTTAAGTTAGTACAATTATCTTTCTCTTCGGTCTTCAGTATAGAAATAATTTCTTGATGTGGACGTTAATTGTTCTTTCAGCTTTTTGGTATGTGTTGTCAACAAAATGTTTGTTTGTTTGTTTTGGCTGTTTGAGTAATGAGAAGTTCATGGACGCAATAATGGTCCTTTAGTGCTGGGAAAGAGTAAGACAGGCCGAGAGAAACAACTTACTGAGGAAATAATGAAGAAGTAGATCCTACCAGTGGCGCCTTCCAACCACCCGCTCTACAAAATGTTTTTCCAAAAGTTCCTGCAAAAATGTCCAAGACAACAGAATGCCTATCAGTGTTGTGGGTACATTTCGTGTACCAGTAGTTCTTTCTTGCCCTTTAAAGGCAAGTCATTGTTCAACATTTGCGAGCTTTAGGTTCAGATGTACCGAAAGCACAAAATAAATCCATGTATTCGATACACAAAACTTTTCAAATGATTTATGGTAATCTCGGCTTTAATACACACACGAAATTACTACTGCTCTTCATTCAACAATTAGACTTCAGAAGAAGAAAAAAAGTTGTATGATGTTTACTTTGAAGAGGTAATCTTGGCTTTAATACACACATGAAATTACTGCAGCACTACAGCAATTAGATGTCAAAAGACAAAAGTTGTATTTAATTTACTTTGAAGTAGAACCAAAAGAACATTATTTGTGTACAAAGAGTCTACCTTTCTAACATGGAATAAATCATTTATCTTGACATTTTGCACTGGTGTCACACACTGCGGAAATATTTTAATGAGTCTGGAACTGAGCAAACCTTCCATTTTCTGACATCGTTGGATTTAAATTCTTATGATTATACTCAATTGAAAATCGTTTTAGTGTACACGTAATTGATGCTATCTGCTATTAAGTATAATAGAGTATTGCGGTCTTAGTTCTGGCTGAAATTATCCCGGAATGCTCACTGGAAGTTTCCAGGGACAATCAATTGTTTTCTGCTCAGTCATGGTTGTAAATATAACCATTAGATTCCATTAAAACGCACTATCAAAATATATTTCGATACTTATTTTCAGTTAAGTGAGTGTTAACTAAGGAAAATAGAAATGTATGTCCTAGATAGAAGCTGGGCATATCATCGAAGTATTTAAAGCTACATTGACAGTCTAAATACGTGAAACCTTAAAATATCAGTTTCTGTCTATAATATTTCCACTAATTTGTCAACAGGGATTTTCGCTTTATTTATTTGGTCTTTACATTTGAGATTGTCAGGCTCCGAAAGCTAATAGATTTAATACAATTTCATAGAGGTAGACATACCAGTCAAAATTTATAATCAATATGACGTTAAGGTTTTTAACATTTTCAGAATCTTCAAAATGCCCAGAATTCATCACAGAAACAGGAAAACATAATAGTGTGTACATTTTGATTTAGTTCAAACGGTTTTAATAGATATAAGTAATTGTAATTATTCTGTAAGAAACATTGAGAATAAAGAAAGAAAATGTGTTTTTCAACGTTTCGACGTAAGACCAGGGACTACTATTTTTCTTGTTTCTTTTGTAGGTGTTTTACTAATCGCGCAACTGCACTGGGTGATATGAGCGTGCGGGACACATTACTCATTAAAATTTGGAAGGACTCATTACGACTTAACTGTCTTTGCAAAACAGTGAGACTGTCAGAACCTTAAGGAGGTAGCCCTAACCGCTCACCGGCTCTATAACCGCGCTCAGTTGTGATTGGTAAAATGATAAACCAAAGTTCAAATACAATGAAATAGACAAGTAATGGAAAACCGACGGTTCAGTTCAGGAAACCCGCATGTCACATTTGTTGAAAATTGACTTTAAAAAATCTTTAT